TCACAGATCAGTCACCTCATTATTATTGACCAACAGTTGTTTTAATTAGCTTTATTAGAAATAAAGTTCTTTGATTAACTAATGAAAAGCGTTCTTCGTCCTTCTTCTGTCTTCTTTGCTGGAATGTAAACATCAAAAGCAAGTGCACGACGTTGGCAATTTATGCACACTGTCACTGTGTCAAAGGGCAGCTGTTAAGGGCAGAAATGGCATATTCATAACGCTAAACCTGTGAACAAGTGGGACCAACCAACCTACCTGTCTGCACTCTGGTGGCCATCTTGATCTGATGGAGAGCTGATGGCCTGAAGAGGAGTTGAACCAATTCTTTGCCCGCTTTGAGGTGCACACACCAGTGGCAACCGCTGGAAGCACAGCGGCACCAGGGCCGGATTATCATTGCAGGGGCCCCTGGACACAATGTGCTAAACTGCTTTCTGGCCTTTATATTAGTAAATTTATTTACAATGTCATCAACGTCCAGATTCCTGACAAGCTGAGATTTAATAGCCATCAGTGACAGTGCACTGAGGCGCTGTTGAGTTTGTGTTGTTCTCAGTTCATTTTTTATTCTTGCCATTAGTGAAAATCGTTCCCCTTCACAATTTGTAACTGGTAGCAGGCGCGCTGCAAGCTTTTCAAAAGTGTGGGGGATGTTGTCCGTGCCTAAAATAATTATGTTGTTCATCTTGTTAGTTTAATTTCCATAATAGTTGAGCAGGTGCGAATTTTAGACGTGTCACGCATATCTCCATTTTAAACATGTTTAAACTGTTCAGGATACAAATCCAGGCTCTGTCTCGTTAGATTGGTGCAAATAAAGTTTGTACTGAATTAAACTTTACATTAAACCCTGTTGAAAAGGTAAGAAAAGGATCCAATTAAATCGTTTTTCCCCTCATTTACAGTCACGAAGTACAGCACAGTGCGCATGGCTCTGGGGTTAATCAGGTTTAGTTGTTTCTCTTTGCAACAATCTTCACAAGAAGGCAAAACAGTTAAATGGCAGGTTACAGATATTTCCATTTGACTGTTTATTTTGACGGATAAACTCAAGGATGTTGGTTGTTTTGAAAGAATTACCCTGATGCACACTGATGCGCACACTGATGAGCTGACATTTTAATCGTTACGCACATCGCGGAGGTAACTAAATCAATCAAAAAAAGATTCCCATCAGAACATCAGAGCTTTATACTGGACACTGTGTTCAGCGCGACTCGGAGCGCCCACGGTGGACAGTGAGCTGAAGATCTGTAGAGGGGTTCGCAGCACAGTGCAGAACCACAGCGCATGCGGTAAGATTTCCTCCCACTGAAGCGGTCTGGAAGCCCGGTCTCTCTGAGGGATGTGTCACTTGGAAAAATGTTCTCTGATTATGAAACTTTGGCTGAATAGCGCTTGTTCCCGTCTCTAATATGGAGACGCATGACGCATCCAGTCTGAGGCAGAATAGCAGCTCAGAAATCTCCTGTAGAGACATTTGATTACGCACAAAGTTTATGTGGAGCAGAAGCGGTCGGCCCACGGCAGGTGGAACGTTCCTAGCCTCCCGGGACTCTGTCGGCTGCTGGTTGTGGCCCTCCGGAGCGATCCTCTGTGCCTCTCGAGGGGAGCAGGGGCTTTTCTGGTCGCAGTCTCCCTGGAGTTCCTGTGCTCTGGGGGCAACTCCTGGATCTCTGGGACTTGGAGCTCCCTCCGTCTCCTACACATCTTTGGGGGGCAGATCTGTGGTCCCTCACACTCTCTATTGGACGCTCCTATAGAGAAACCTTACATAAACAAGCGCGTGTACACACACAGGTGCTCACATGGAGTCTTAAGGCTATGGTGGGCACTTAATGCACTGTGATTTATTATCGTGTGATTGTTCAGTTAAACAATGTTGATTTTATATTTCTTCATCAAGTTGACGCAGTGATAGCTTGATCTTGTTGTGTTGTTGTCCCTTTTTTTTTTTTGCTTTTTTTCTTCTCTCTTTCTGCAGGTCTAGAAGCAGATTCTTGTTCATTATTGTTTATTTTTGTGGACCCCCCCCCCCCCCCCCCCATCTTTTGTCTCTTCCTTTCTCTTTCACCTCTGTCTCCGTGTCTGGTCGGAATTACAAGCATTCAAAAAACAACAGCAATAAAGTTTTAAGACTCAGGCGTGACGTTAGAATCAGACACTTTGATGCTCCGCCTGAGAGTAAATCTGTAAGGCTTGTTACCAGCATTCAGACATCAATTCTGCTTGCTTCACAGCCAGACAGGCCACGAAAAAAATAAATAAATAAAAGAAATGTTCCTAGCCTACATGGAGTGAAATTGTCTAATTGTAACATTAATATGTTACTGGACACACTGGTCTGGTTGGTTAGACCAGTGTTTGAAGTTGAAAACACACACACACACCAATTAAAATAATGCTGATAGCGTGGACTAGAAGACAGGTGATAGTTTATGTATTTAAATGATGATCAGGCTGCTGTAAAGTGTAATCTCCATCCACATCCAGACACAATTATCCTCTATTCTCTATTTTCTCTGCTCTTGTCTGGGCTGACATAGCTGATGGTGCGGTTTTGAACATTGAGAGGTACATATAAGAAGTGCTGCTAGAGTTAGAAAAATCTGCAGGGTCACAAACACATTAGGGAAGATGGACTGTAGTTTTAGTCCGTAAATGACCATGGTTCTATTTATATTACATTATTCATGTGGAGTCTCCGGGGATTATTTAGAGCTGAGGCGCAGAGCTCTGATGGTTGACGCGCTGCAGACAGATGCGTCCTGAGCACGGCCACACTAACATTCTCAAAGTGTCGCCACCTCAAAAACAAATTTAACACGCGATTGTTAATGTCTGCTCATATCCCTTCATGTTTTCTGTCTTTTATTTGTGCCTGATGTGTTTCGCTGCTGCGGAGCGCATAACCTGTTTCGTCCTCCGGTGACTTCACCTCACCAGTGTGGCAGGCGCGCGGTGCACACTCCGCCATATTTGCGGTCGGTAGATCTTTTTTTAACTGCAATTCAGAGGTAACCCATAAGGTGAATATATATGAACCCAGGTAGCAGTTTTTCTTTAGGATTGAGAGATGCAGGAAGATAATAAACAGGCAGGACAGAAAAATAGTCAAATAAAAACAAGTTAGTTTTTGTACCTGCTGGTTGCAACAAACAGACACCACTGAAGGTAATCAGAAGTGAGGAACAGAAAATGAAATAATTATTTTAATGTTTAGAGCAGCAGGAACTCTGAGGCTGCAGGCGCATCAGTGAGTTTGTGGCGTTGCACAGGGGGAGGGGGGAGAGGGCTGAAGCAGAAACTACCGTTGTTAAAATAAATGTGTTTACCTTAGAAAATGTGGGCGCAATTTTAATTACTTGTCAACATTTTTCTCCAACGTTAAGAACGCTGCACACAAAAAAAAAAAAAAAAAAAAAAGACTGCTGCTTGCGTGGGCCCCTGCCCAGTTTGACCATATTATAAACCGGCCTTGAGCGACACCATCCCCACCTTCAGGGTGCAGGAACACAAAGAGAGAAATTCACTCTTGGCTGTCCAACATAAAGGAAGGCAACTGGTCCTGACGGCATAACGAGGCATATGTTGAGGAGCTGTGCAGAACAACTGGCTGGGGTTGTCACAAAGATCTTCAACTTGTCATCGTCCCTGGCCTTAGTCCCACACAGTCTGAAATCCTCCACCAGTCCCCTTACCAAAGAAATCACCTGTAACCTGTCTGAATGACTACCGGCCTGTAGCACTCACCTCATTTCTGATGAAGTGCTTCGAAAGATTGGTCCAGAGCCACATCATGCCCTTCATCCCTTCCTCTCTCGATACTCGTCAATTTTCATATCGAGCAAGCAGGTCTACTGAGGACGCCGTAGCTGTTGCTCTTTATGCAACGTTGTCCCACCTGAAGCATTGGTGGAACTATGCACGCCTCTTCATTCTTTTCAGCAGTGCCTTCAACACTATCCTCCCTCACAGATTGGTGTGCAAATTGTCAGATCTGGGACTCCCCCACTCCACTTGTGCTTGGATATAGGACTTCCTGACACATTGCAAACAAAGGGTCAGGGTGGGCCCTCACATCTCCTCCGCTAGCAATCCTCAGGAGAAACAGCATCTCCCAAAAATTGCTGGTGTCCTTCTATCGCTGTTCCACGAAGAGCATCCTGTGCTACTGCCTGTGTGTGTGTGGTTCTCCAGTTGCACATCGGCACAGAGGAAATCACTTCAGAGGACTGTGGAGACCACTCAGCAGGTCATCGGCGGTTGTTTATCCTCTCTGGATGAACTACACAACTTTTGCTGCCTCAGGAAAGTGGAAAGCATCCTAAAAGATCCCTCTCATCCTGCTCGATTTGTTCCAACTGCTGCCATCAGGCAAAAGATACAGGAGCATAAAAACTAGGACAGACTATACAGCAGTTTTTATCCTGTGGCCATCAGTGCACTGAATGGCAATTAACCCCCCCCCACCCCCCATTGTTATGTTAACATAATGTGTATATTGTTAGCTCGTCTTTCTCAAATAGACAAAGTGAAATGACTGTGCAAAGGTTTCACGTGCAGTACTGTTTCTCTTATTCTATTTTTTTATATTATTATCTCAACTAATTTTAAATTCAGTTTCGGGCACAGGGACTGCATCCATTTTCGTTGTACGTTTTGCAATGACAATAAAGGATATTCTTTTCCAAATTTTATTACGGCATCAAAGTGGTCTGTTAGGACCTGCTTTCGGTTACATTCGTTTATAAAAATATATTCAATTCTAAATTTCTAAACTTTTTTCTCAACTCTGTTTGAATTAATATAAAGTGTGTTTCAGTGAATAGTCCAAAGAACCTAAGTTCATATTAAATCAAATATTCATAGACCAGTCAGATTGATAATTCATATTTATATGGAATATCACATCTTATTGATCTTTTTTCATAAATGTAACCACATCCACCGTGTTACAAACCCCTTAAACCGTAATCCTAATAAAAATATTGCTACAACATTCAATAAATTTATTTTAGTTGTGTGAAGTTACAGAGAAGATCAAAAGTAAATTCAGGTGATGTGTCTCAGTGGAAGACTGTCTGTCTCCAGCGTTTGTCTGCCGTGAATGGCCACAGACAATCAGTGATGGCAGCAGTAAAAGCTTGTGGCTCAACACTCAAATTCAGCAGCTCCAGACGAGAACAGCTCAACTGACTGTTCATTGGACGAGAAGTCATATCTGCAGAAAGTTCCGTCCGCTGCAGAACACACAAAATAGTCAAGATCAGGAGGCACATTCTGAAGTAGTGTCAGATACCACCTAAACTGCAAGGTATTAATTTAATAAAAACACTTTAATTAACTGAGGTCATGAAAATCACATTTGATGCCCAAAACATTTAGTGTTTCTGGAAAACATCAGCTGACTCACTGGTATGAGATGGTTGGAAGGCAGGTTGAAGGCCTGGGCCATGGCAACTGCCATCTCATATTTGGTCATCTGCTCTTTACCTGAAAAATGGAAGATTCCTCTAATGAAAGGGTCCTGCAGAAAGATGGAAAGTTGGGTATGATCATCATAACAATATACTGTATTTTGTCTTTGGGTAACCCATTTGTTGCAAGACAATAATGTTAGTTTTAACAAATCAACTTTTATCCTAGGCTACATACAGGTGCTGGCCAGTAAATTAGAATATCATCAAAAGGTTGAAAATATTTCAGTAATTCCATTCAAAACGTGAAACTTGTACATTATATTCATGCAATGCACACAGACCAATGTATTTCCAATGTTCATTACATTTAAATTTGATATTCATAAGTGACAACTAATGAAAACTCCAAATTTGGTATCTCAAAAAATTAGAATATTCGGAAAAGGCTGAATATAGAAGACACCTGCTGCCACTCTAATCAGCTGATTTACTCAAAACACCTGCAAAGGCCTTTAAAAGGTCCCTCAGTCTTGTTTTGAAGGCACCACAATCATGGGGAAAACTTCTGACTTAACAGCTGTCCAAAAGACAATCATTGACACCTTGCACAAGGAGGGCAAGACACAAAAGGTGATTGCTAAAGAAGCTGGCTGTTCGCAGAGCTCTGTGTCCAAGCACATTAACAGACAGGCGAAGGGACGGAAAAAATGTGGTAGAAAAAAGTGTACAAGCTCTAGGGATAACCGCACCCTGCAGAGAATTGTGACGACAAACCCATTCAAAAATGTGGGGGAGATCCACAAAGAGTGGACTGCAGCTGGAGTCAGCGCTTCAAGAACCACCACGAGGAGACTCATGAAAGACATGGGATTCAGGTGTCGCATTCCGTGTGTCAAGCCACTCTTGAACAAGAAACAGCGCAAGAAGCGTCTCGCCTGGGCCAAGGACAAAAAGGACTGGACTGATGCTGAGTGGTCCAAAGTTATGTTTTCTGATGAAAGCAAGTTCTGCATTTCCTTTGGAAATCAAGGACCCAGAGTCTGGAGGTAGAGCGGAGAAGCACAGAATCCACGTTGCATGAGGTCCAGTGTAAAGTTTCCACCGTCAGTGATGGTGTGGGGTGCCATGTCATCTGCCGGTGTTGGCCCACTCTGTTTCCCGAGGTCCAGGGTCAATGCAGCCGTCTACCAGGAAGTTTTAGAGCACTTCATGCTTCCTGCTGCTGACCAACTTTATGGGGATGCAGACTTCACCTTTCAACAGGACTTGGCACCTGCACACAGTGCCAAAACCACCAGCACCTGGTTCAAGGACCATGGTATCCCTGTCCTTGTTTGGCCAGCAAACTCGCCTGACCTTAACCCCATAGAAAATCTATGGGGTATTGTGAAGCGGAGGATGCAATACGCTAGACCCAACAATGCAGAGGAGCTGAAGACGACTATCAGAGCAACCTGGGCTCTCATAACACCTGAGCAGTGCCACAGACTGATCGAGTCCATGCCACGCCGCATTACTGCAGTTATTGAGGCAAAAGGAGCCCCGACTAAGTATTGAGTGCTATACATGCACATTCTTTTCATGTTCATTCTTTTCAGTTGGCCAACATTAGAGAAACAAACATTTTTTCATTGGCCTTTAGAATATTCTAATTTTCTGAGATACCAGATTTGATGTTTTCATTGGTTGTCACCTATAAATATCAAAATTAAACGTAATAAACATCGGAAATACATTGGTCTGTGTGCATTGCATGAATATAATGTACAAGTTTCACGTTTTGAATGGAATTACTGAAATATTTTCAACCTTTTGATGATATTCTAATTTACTGGCCAGCACCTGTACACATTGAATGTCTTACTCCTCAAATCAGATTTCTTGATTAAATCAGAAATTATAGAGTGGTTGTTCACACTACAGTTAATATGCAACAGCAAACATGCTCTAATGCAGGGATTCCCAAAGTGTGGAGCTGCAGCTAGGTAAAAGGTGTAGTGGCTGCGGAGCTCAGAGAAGTCTGTCAGATGTCACCATTAGCGTAGCCAGAAACTCATTTGTGGGCGGGCCTAAGAAAAAGTAAGTAGGCCCAATAAATGTAATTGAAAACAAGTATATTTTTGCATGCACGCGTGTCCTCCACATGTGCCCTAGCTTCATAATAACAATGCGCCGAGCATCAGCGCTCTGGCCTGCGCACGCCGATATGTTCCGTATTTGATCATTTTTAACGGTGTTGGAGGAATCTGAAGGTGGCGAGTCATTCTGGCAGATTGTAATTAACACTTGTCTCATGCAGGTGTTCTGACGTTGTAAACCTCACACACAGAACATTGTGGATGTAACTAAATAAATCAAGAAATGACTCCCATTCAGGCTATTAACAGCGCGCTGAAGATCTGAAGTTCAGAGTGCGTCGGTCAGAGGTCAGACGCCTTCCAGCGGAACCACAGCTCACGGGTGCACAAGTGAGCACATCTGGGCTGGGCAGAAGTCATTTTACAACCTTGGTTTAAATAGCGCCAATAACGAGACGCGGTGACTGGAGCGGCTCATGGAGCTGTGCCGCGCGCACACACACACACACACACACACACACACACACACAGATTCAATAAGCGCGCACGCTGCGCAAACTCCGGCGTGCCGTCAGACTGAAGGCGGAAATCAGCGCTGCCTCCGTGATAAAAACTTTTAAGAGGTTTTATAACAACATTTTTCATTCAAGGTCATATTAAGATATTAGCTTCTATTTTGGGATGACGTATTAAAGTCGGGTCCGCTCCAGCCAGTGACTCCAAACCGGACTACTGCAGCATTTGTTATTCCAGTCCGCGTGGCAGCGGATCGCAGATTCAGCCACACCATAAAACAGCAATAAGTCGGTCTGAGGCAAAAGTGAACCTCATGGCTACATCTTTTCCATCTTTTCCCGTATAGACATTTGATTACGCGCAAGTAGGTGACCAGCTCAGGTTTACGCAGAGCAGAAGGAAGGAGAGCGCTCTGGCCGCACAGGTTAAACGTTCCTGCTTTAAGAAAACCGTTAAATTGCATTGTTTATGTGCTACCTGGGCACTCTAAATATTTATTTTAAAATTAAATCAAATGAAATTGTTATGGTATTGAATGTTTATTAATGACTATTTAAAAAATGAAAGTGATGGTGAAAAAGGTCGATCATATTTTTTTAACCCTGTCTGTTTAGCGTGACGTCTGATATATATATAGCCATGTCCTGATGTGGGGCTGGGGGGTGCGTAGACATGGTCGGGACATAGAAGGGATAAATAAGTTTGGGAACCACTGCTCTAATGTGAACAGTCCAGGGTCCCAAAGCGGCCAGCATCAGCAGAAGATAACAAAAAGTCACACACAACACACAAGTTGAAACAAGGAGAGGTGAAGCTGTAATGTGAAGGGTTTCAAATGGCCTCAAACTATTTTACATCTACAAATAGGCAGTTTAATAAATAAGGTTTGTAGTAAATTGTCCAGCTGGTCTTCATAAGTGAATAAGTTAATTTATAGCAGGTACTTCAATTTCTATGATATGCTGAAAGTGATGCCCTAAACATAATATTGGACATTTGATGCATTAAAGCTGCATCGTGTAATACTTTTGATACATAAAAATGAAAATAAAACCATTTCTCCAATCTATGCTGTTTTTTGGATCTCCTGACCATAAAGTAAGGTCTCTGCATTTGGGACCAGTAGGGTCAGGCCCCACCAGAGGGCACTGAGGAGCTCTATGCTCAAATAAAATAATCAATGGGAAAAAATGGTTTGTTTTAAAGTCATACTGTACAAAACCCCATTCTGTCAACAAGAATATTCTGTTAAGAAAAAAAAAAGAATTTTTTTTCCCTTTAGTCTTTAAAATACCAATATTTGCCCATAACTTCTTATTTTATGTCTGTTTGATGTCATCATTTAAAAATATTAGATCAGATGATACTCCATACTCAAGTAGCCTTCTAATCAGATACTTTTTTACCCTTACTTGAGTAATAAACCCTATATCAGGAAAATATTGTCCTCGGTTTGTGTCCTTCCAGTGAGCTTTGCAGATGTGGGAAAATGTCATCAGGCAGTAATCATTGTTAAATTCATAATTATTCTCGGAGAGAGACCAACTCTTATCTGCCCCTGGGAGCCCCGCAATGCATAGCGTCATTTCAACATGGCGGTGTCCGCGACACGGTTTATATGCAGGTAGCGGCGCTGCGGCTGCTTTATATAGCGACTCGTTGCATTCTCCCTCAACCCAAATCCTCGGATCACGCATTTTAGCTAAAACGCTAACGTTAGCTTGCCTTGCGTTGACTGTAGAGTTGTGGGTGACGGTCACGCAGATGTGTCATGAGATTTGAAGCGTTGCTGCCTTTCACAGACACTTTTTCTGCACGTGCTGCAAACAGGATAGCCGTCTTCTATCAACTGTCCCTCGGCATTCTTCAAATATCCAAAAGATGCCCGTACTTCCGACTTTGTCTTCTTTGAGGGATAATAAACGTCCTGAGCACTGCCGTCTCCTTCTTTGGCCATTATTTCAGCTTTAGCTTCAAGAAAGTTTTGGTTGTAAACAACAAAGTGCGCATGTGCTGCAGGCATCTTCAGCAGATGATACGGTGGCTGGTAAGGGTCACCGCGCCTACACCGCAGCCACGGTAATCCACCAAGATAATATAGTTTTTTAAAAAAACAAGACGGTTATTATTATTGTCAACTTTTTTTTTACCGGGGTTTACCGCTACACTGGTTACCGTGACAACCCTAATATCAATCAATCAACTTTTATTAACAGAGTCAAGGTCCAGAGACAATAAAAACAAACATAAGATAAAAACTACACAATAAAAGACAAAGATACAAGGAAGTCAATATAAACACCAATACCAATAATGCCATAATTCAGACTGATAGCGTGTGGTACTACAGTCAACATTAACCAAGCACTTAATAACAACATTTTCACATTGATTAACTCGACAAATAAACTTAAACATCAAGTTCCTCAACATAGCGTGGAATGTACCGATCCCAGAAGAGACAAACAAGCAGCTCGCATTTTCCCAACGAGGCCTCTTTAGTAATATTCTCAGACAATCATTATATGCTACAGAGACGCCTAAGTCTTGTTTGCTTATAGGAAGACCACAAATGAGCTGTATATAATTGAGTACAGTATACTTTAAAGAGCAAGTCACCCCCTAACAGATTCTTACTCAACTCCCACTTCCTGTTTGAAAAATGCAACAAATGATGTTGCCTGGCAGACCGAGAGGGCGGAGCTGCTAACAAATACACACACACAAACACACAGGCTCACGACAGCATTGTGACATCATAATGTACCAGTTTACATCATAGCATACCACTTAGCCAATAGCGATGGCAGATTTAAATTCAAATGCAGTGCAGAGTTTTTACCTGACAACGGCACAACACTGCCAGTTTAAGGCAGAATATTTAAATTTTAACTAAAATGCACTAAAGTGCCAAATTATTGACGACACGTGTCAGCAGCACGATTAGACACTCGTTTATTTAGTTTATCAGCAAAAAAAGTTTATTTGGGGGTGACTTGCTCTTTAAAGAGTGTCTTAACTGCATTAGTGCACATACTAAACCTACGCACTAACATATTAGCCTGTGCATACATTCTACGACATTGCCGATCAATATCATCATCATCAGCCAATTCATCATTAATAAAGTGCCCCAGATATTTATACTTGTCCGTCACAGGCAAAACATTACCACTTAATTCAAAATGGCGAAACTGTAACCCTTTATCTTCTTTTGTTCTACAGGTCATGATGACACTCTCACTAGAATTGAAATTGATGTGAAAATCCAGCCCATACTTTGTGGAAATATCTAGCAGTTCCTGTAATCCTACACTACTAGGACTCAGGACGACGAGATCGTCAGCATACATAAGATGGTTGACTAGGGTTGATCCAGTCATACAAGCAGTACTGCAATTATTTAACTGCTGTGACAGTTCATCCATGTACAAGTTGAAAAGCACAGGAGAGAGTTCCCCGCCTTGCTTTACTCCATTAGTAGCACCAAAAGGAGCAGAACATCTACTACCCCATCTCACCTGCATATCCTGATTAGCATACCAGTAGACTAGGATTCTCAGAATGTACGTAGGAACCCCTCGTTGTCTCATTTTAACAAACAGTTTCAGGTGATTTACACGGTCAAAGGCTTTAGACGCATCAATAAAGGATAATAACACAGAAGAGTTGCCTCTGAAACGTCCTAATGATTTCTTTTAAGGCAAATATGCACAAATCTGTGCTAAGCTTAGACTTGAACCCAAACTTATTATCTGTAGAGTAGATTAAATCCTTTAGCCTACCTAGTAGCACTTTTTCCATAACCTTGGGTACAATGCTTGCCAACGCAACAGGCCTATAGTTGTCCATGCTACCTGCTCTACCTGCTTTGTCTTTTATGACAGGGACCAGAATAATACACAAGTGCATCAGGCAGAATGCCGTGTATCTAACAACTAGTAAAACAGATGGCCAGTAGAGGTAATAAGCTAAAGTTAGCATATTTCAGATGTTCCGTGTATATTCCATCCAGTCCACAAGATTTACTGTCAGGAAGCTCAATCACTGCTTGACCCACTTCACAAGCCGTAACACTAATGGACTCAGTGCTGTTTATCACTGTTACATTCATTTGTTCACTACATATGCAGTTAAATACAGCATCATAATGCTGTTTCCAATGCTCAACAATATTGTCTGGTCCAGACATACCTTCAGCACAGCGAGGCATAACGGTTTTGTTTTTATTAAGAACTCGTATCTCTTTCCAAAAATCCGTATTTTGATAGTAGTTTCCCAGCCAAGGAATCAGACCTCATTGCTTGTTCGTTCTTCTTAATGAACCTAATAGCATACTTATACCTAGCATGTGTAAGCTTTTTATTTTCATATAGCAGGCCTTGTCTGGGTCCACCCGCTTGGGCCCATTCCCTTGTTGCTTCTTGGGCTTGCTCGTGGAATCCAGCGACATACACGTTCCACCCGGGCAACTTAATATTAGAGCTGCAGACCGCTTTATGAAGTGGCTTACCGCTCTCATTAAGAGCTCCTATTATTCGATCATAAAATGTGCAGATGTCCACTTTATGTTTCATATTTGCACAATTTGGATCAGCACACCTAATGGCCTCATTGGGTAGAACAACGTTTCTCAATAATTCTTCCGTCTTTATAGAGCATGACCTCAACTCACTTTTTGTAACATTAGACCAGTTCAAACTGCTTTGACACACTCCATCATTACCTACAAACACCTCGGGCAGACGCTCAACTTTGACTGAGAACGAAATCGGGATATGATCACTGACGGCCAGGTTCTACAGAATATTCATTGAACTAAGAGACCCATGAGCATCTGATGAGCTAAAACGATGATCTAGCCATGAAGTAGAATGCCAGGCTTCACTAATATATGCATACCTGTCATGCGGCAGCATGAGCTTACTTCACATAATGTATTTGTGCTCTAAACAAAACTGACTCAGATGTTTACCAAATTTGAAATTCACATTAGAGATATCGGCATTCATATCGCCCACAACATATATACTAGTAAAATTGCATCTTTGCAGAAAAGAGTTTGAAAAAGCAAGCTTATTAAGATAATCTCCTTCGTTCTGTCGGGATTCATAAGGTAAATATTAGGGATGTAAGAAAATATCGATATGGCAATATATCGTGATATTGTTTCCTGCAATATTATATCGATATTCAAAAGCTGTGTATCGACTTTTGGGAAGAATTTGCATGCAAGCATTTGTGTATTTTCATTTCCTTTGGTGCAATTCAAACGCCGACTGCAGTGGGTTTTGCTTCCACTATTGAAATGTAAATCTCTTTATTATGGTTCAGATCCATCACGATAAACATGTTAAGTATCAGTTTGGACAGTTTATTGAAATTTCCTACAATAGATTCAGTCTAAAAAAATCGCTACTAATGTCTGGCTGAATGTATCGCAACATATCGTGATATATTGTATCGTCTCCCCCGTATCGTGATGCATATTGTATTGCCAGGATTTCACCAATACACATCCCTAGTAAATATACACATAAGACCAGAAAATCCTTATTTCCAAAGGACAAATGTATTCCGATACACCAATCTACTCCCATCCTAATAATTTTGACGCAATTATCTAAAGTTTTTTTCCACAGTATTGCGACACTCCCAGGTATCCTCCCTCTAACAATACTGCTGGAAAAATCTGTAGTAGATTCACCCGCCCCAAAAAAGAAATTATTAAAAGAGTTCAGCTTTGAGAGGTCCTGCTGCACTAAAAATGTCTCTTGCAAACAGAGAATATCACAGTCAGTTAAAAGGTGATCAATGACCAGTCGATGAGCTTTACCTCCATCACTGTTTCCGAGCCCAAGCCTGCGACAGTTGTACAGGGTATCTGCAGGTTTAAGGGAGCCAAATTTAAGACTTTTTAAGACCTTTTTTAAGGCCACTTAGACCAAATTTAAGCTACTTTTAAAATTAAATTTAAGCTATAATTTCCAGCTATTGCCTGGAACCGGTGCTAACTTGCCCTTCCCCATGGCGCAAGCTCCCACTAGCTTAACCAGCTAATGTGCTCATTTAAAATTGCCCCCTTTCACAACCAACTGAATGTGTACGGTTCTGCTTACGTCAATACCATACACAAAAAAATGCTTAAGACTAACTTGAAATTGAGGAAAACAAAAGGATCTTGTTCATTGGGTCTTTGGTAATTTAAGACCTTTGGAAACTGTATTTAAGGATTATTGGTCATTTTTAAGGATTTTTAAGGCCTTAAATTTGGAAAAGCTAATTTAAGACTTTTTAAGGACCCGCGGATACCCTGTTATAAGACAGAACTCGTAAGTCCACATGTTATTTTTCCACCGCATATGAATAAAGTGAAAGAAATTTAAATAAACAGCGGGACAGGGTAGAGCTGAGAAACATACCTGGCGTGCTCTCTCTGCAAGCTTCCTGCAAACTGTTGCAACATCTTGCGTACTGGTGGGGAATCTCTGCAGGCAATGATCTAGTATGCAGCTCTCTTCTGTTGCCTCCTGAACCTTCAGCCACAGTGACGTCACAGCACTCTCAGTCACCGTCTCCACCTCCCCAAACAGAACTGGAATTCGCAGAATCACTGCACCTGACAGACAGAAGGGGAGACCAAGGTGCCAATCCAGCTGAGTGGTCACATTCAGTCACCCAGAAACTGACAAACAGGTGGTCACCTGGGGAAACGGCCGTTTACCTGGACAATGTCTTAGCACCTCTCTCTCACCATCCAATTTGCTTCGTCCATACTCATTGAGAGGATTTGGAGAGTCATCTTCACCGTATGGAGGATTCCGACCATCAAACACATAGTCTGTACTGATGTAGGTAAAGAAGGAGCCGCATACAGCTGCAGTCACACGTCACATGTTAAATACATCATCATACAGGAAGACACAAACTTCAGAGATCATTTTCTTTCAGCGTAAAACAGGATTTAATGGGAATTTTCCTCATCAGGGTTCAGTAATTTCATCACACAAAACATATTTGGTTTCTGTTCTGCAGTGAGGAGAATTCTAAACTTAAGATTTTCTAGATGTAAAAATAAATGTGGGGTGTGCATGATCTGTTTTTTACAGGCGTCTCAAATGAAAGCTGTTTAAATATCCTACTGTAGAACCAGTGATGTAAAGTTAAACCACTCCTGACCTTTTCTCAAGTTCTTTTTGCCTTTTTTTATTTATTTATATAACTAATTAAGACATTTAACGATTTAATTGGAAAACTTTTTGCCCTCTGTGGATTTGACCATTTTTATAGAAATGTTCGTTGACGTCACTTAACTATGACCTCTGATACTCTTCATTAACTCTTCTTCTTCAGCCTTCAGAGAGTACAGACGCTTTTTTCTCAGCTCCCTTATCGGCTTCCCCAAGGCTCTTGTCCTGTCTGCCTACAGAGCACTTCTCTGCATTTCTCCTGAAACCACTACTCTCTTTTTGGAAATATGGACTTAATTAATTGGTCATTCAACGTGATTGACAAAATTTTCTCTACGATGAGAACGGAGAAGGGGGCTCCCACCTGTCCCGAGGGGACATTCGCATCGGGATATGCACTCGATTCTTGGGAGGTCTGGCGAATCGTGTGCCTCTCTCAGCTGTCCATCGAGGACGTGGAAGATTTGTGGATATTCGGCCTGATGATCACTGGATTTCTTCTGATTGGAGTGGTAGGATATCTGGTTTTCTGGAAATTTGGGAAGACGGGAGCGATTGGAGTGCGACCCGTACCCACGGAATGTGCCGCTCGTGCGGTGACCTCACAGACTGGGACGTTACTCGAGGTGAACCGTAAGCTGGACAATGTCCTTGCGGCGTTGCCTGTGTTAGTGCGCAAGATGGATTTGATCTCGGAGAGGGTCGCCGGACGATGCGGGGATGTGGAATGTAAAATTGGCTTCACTGGTGGACATGAATGACCACTTAGAGACTACAAGACGGAGGGGAAGATTATCTCTGTCTACCCTAAACAAAGTTATGTTTATCCTTATCTGACGCCATAGCAGCCTCTCAAGGCTGCCTCAACACACCCCCATAAAAGGAGGAATGCCGACAGATGCTGTGTCCCGACCTTCCCCCTCTCCCTTCAGGCTATATCTGCAGGGACCTCAATGTGCTCTCTGTTCCTTATCTCTCCCTCCCACCTGTTGTTCTGCAGCTGGTCGATGCGCCGCAGTGGCAGCTCCCATTGGAGGCTTCAGGATCCCGCCCACCCCCACCTCCCCATTGGACTCTGATGTTGTACACGTGCTGTCTGTGCTTCCATGTCGGGTGTTTTTTTTGCATTGGAGTGCTACACCCTGCTGGTGTAACCCTGTTAATGCCTTTTTTTTTCCCCTCCCTGAACTTTCCTCATGTAACACCCTTTTCATCTAACTATTAAGGTAACGCGACTCATGTTGCGAATGACCGCAGTCACCAATTCTTGTTATGTGTCTTACCCACGTATGTCTGATCTTTGTATTGTGTGTGCTGAAACTGAATTTCATTTCTCTGTATGTCCTGCACATGTGGAGAATATGACAATAAATGACTCTTGACTCTCTTGACTCTTGACTTAATAAAAAAAATGCTTTATTGTACTTTAATTGATAATAGAAAACCTTTCACTTCTAAAGCTGGGTTTAAAACTAGAAAATTACTGAAGAAATTTTGAAAGGGGCCTGCCATGTGGCGCAAGACAGTGGCAACATGGTGAGAAGCCGGGTGCCAGGTAGCTATAGCTCACCTCGACGCTACTCAAGCAAGGCATTAGTAACCAAACAACTGGTGTTCACACCAAAGCAGTCAGACATGAAGGCGGATCAGGGGTGAAAAAAGTAAGACCCTCCAAGTTAACCTGCTGCCAATGACAGTTCCAGTAATTTTGGACATTTTAGATTTAAACACATTAGCCTGGTGCACTTATAGAAGAAACTAATCCAGAGGAGTTGAGTGCTGGTATGAATGTATAATAAAGTACCTAAACATGCTCACACCAACCTCTATACTGAATAACAGGAGGAGTAAACCTGGCACTTGAAGGCCACTATGGCTGCATGTTTTCTACGTGTCCCTGCTCAGACACACCTGATTCCATATCAAGTTGAGATTCTTGGTTTAACACAGAGTAGCAAAGCCTTTAGTTACCCGCTAACAAGTTTCTGCTCGTCCTGAAAAGAGGACAAATGACCTGTGATTGATATAGCGCCTTCTAGAGTCCCCCCCCCCCCCCCCCCCCCACACACACACACACACAGCTGGAAAAATTCCTAGGGGAAACACTGAAATAAATATTGGATGTTTATTTTATATCACTGACAATAATAATACAAGCAGGAGGCTGTCAGCTGATGGATCTCCTTGACTAACCAGCTAACGAACCCCTCCACTCTACCTCCTTTGTGTGTCTGGGGAGGAGCTGATAAATGAAGCAGACAAGAAAAACCATCTAACTTAAAAAGTAAACACAAGCTTCCTCCCAATTTTCTCCAAGTTGAATTTAACATTATTTAAAGTCAGCCTGGTTCATTCAACAAAAATGTTTAGCAAGAACTTCTGCTGTCGACACATCAGTAAAATATTCTTATTTCTCTGCGAGTGTTCTCTTGCCCAGAGCTCTAAACTCCTCCATGCACCCCCCCCCCCCCCCCCCCCATATATATATATACAGATAGAAGGAGAACTTGGCAAGACTGACCTGACTCTTTGGCAAGCGTGCTCGTGGCATGCACATTCAGATTGACGGCTGCCTCATTGTGTCCCTCCATGACATCTGGACGTCTCTCTGCTGCACAGTGAATGACCACTTCAGGCTGAAACATGATGAAATCATTGTTCAGGCTACGAGACGCTGAATTTTGTTTTTCTTATTGGGGAGGGGGGTATAGAGAAGGATCAGACAACGATCAGTGTAAAGACTCCATATGATAATGAAACAGAGTTCCATTGCCTGAACTTAGGTCATCAAGGACCTCTTCTGGAGCCATGCCTGGAGGTGGGGCACGCTGGCAAGCACCTGGTGGCCGGGCTTTTACCCATGGGGCCCAATTGCACATTGAATTGCCTCTTTGTATGAAATGTGCTATACAAATAATGCTGCAAAGGGGTCGGGTGCAGTGTAAGATGGGCAGTGGTTGAAGGTGACGATCCTCAGCTACAGCATTTGGATCCCGGGATGTGGAACGTCACATGTCTGGTGGGGAAAAAGACTGAGCTGGTGCATGGGGTTGAGAGGTTCCACCTAGATGTAGTTGGACTTGCATTGACGCATGACTCTACCTCGGTAACAAACCGGTTTCTTCGAGAGGAGTTGGACACTAGGCCCTCTTAAGCCGGGCGTACACTGTGCAACTTTTTCACTTTTTTGAGCCGATTTTCCAGTCGTGCGAGAATCCATGACATCGGGGTGAGTTCTGCTCAGAGCGGTCGTGTAGTGTACAGGGGGTTACGAGAGGCGATTATCACCACGTGACCAGCTGCCGATCAGCAGTCGTGAGGTCGCACGGACTTCTGGCGTGTTTGATATTTCGCTCGTCCCTCGTGAGGGTATCGCACTGTTGAAGCGGCGCTGCGAGCAGCTGCGACCCAAAAAGTATCAGAACCGCTCACGGCACATGCACAATCCTGCATCAACACCGCTCGCTATTTCCCTAATAACACACGCTGTTCGTTTTTATTTCTACACGTTTTTATTACTCAAAGATTGTCAAGAAAGCGTGTTTGTCGTGTTCGTGTCAAATTAAACTGATCCCAAAACTCAGATTTACTTTCTTTATCTCGTTTTCCTCATCCAACCCCCATAAATCCCTGTGTGTCCTCCTGCAGCACCCCCGAAGGACAACAGGCAAGACAAGACAAAAAGTCTGACGTGTTGAGTAAAAACTGCTATTTTTAGCATATTTTTAGGGCCGACGTGTTGCTACCAGACGTACAGCGTGAGCAGTCAGGTCGCATCCGAGAACTGGGTCGTGCAGTGTGAGCGCATGACTCGTGAGATCTGCTCTGCGAGGAAGTCGTACAGTTTGAGCTGAAGCTGAACGCCGCGAGTGAAAAAGTCGCACAGTGTACGCCCGGCTTTAGGTACTTCACACCTCTATTCAGATTCGCGGTTCTAGTTTTCGATTACTAAAATATTACCACAATCACCACTATCTATGATGCATGTTTTTCCACTGTTTAGGTTTTTACTCACATCAAAGCTTTTCAAACACATACTTTCAAATTAACTCGGCACACATTAATTCAAGTTAACAAATACCATTTACTCTACCATCTTATTCGTGTAGGCCTGAACACTTACCCAACATATTTTGCATAAAGTCTACAGGAAAAATGGGAATAAAAATGAAAACAAACACAGGCAGTTTTGTTTGGTAAACATTATTAGCCGAAATGGTAAACTGGAGCGATGAAGAGGTCCAGAGGTTCAGGCCTTTAGAGCTGAATCTCAGATCACTGAACAGTTCATGTGGGACTGCAGGACAGACACCTTTTGGAGCAGCTCGTGAAAAAACCCGAGTGTGGCTTCAATCGTGTTAAAAAAAAAAGTCACATCTAAGCCTAAAGGAGGTTTGTGACAGTGTGAAAATGGGCCCTGCATCATCTTTATATCACCATGGCAGAATCTTAGAGAAAAACACATGATTGAAACACACTACCGTCACAGGCTGACCACTTATAAATGGCCAAAGGCTTCTTGATGCCACCTCCACTTTGCTGCACATTGGCGCCATTTTTTATGTCAGAGGCCGGAGTTATCTTAAACTAACCCCGAATGGAAACCTGCAAGGTGCAGTCGCATGTTGGTGGTGTTGCTGTTGCATTTTATTATAGTTTTAAATAACTTTTAATCCTGACAAGTAAATTTTTGAAACTGAGAAACAAGCTGTCACCATTGCTGGTTTTTGTTTTTTTCTGCTGGTCCATCGCCTAACGTGTCTGGGCGGCACATGCAGCTTTCATGTTCCTGCCATGCTTTGCAGCTGTTCTTTGTCATGTACTTACAATTGTATTTTAACATTTACAAATTGTGATTGACTTGGTATGTATCACATAGGCATGCATCAATTGGTTAATCGACACAGCATCATTGGACTCTCTTCCACTTTGGAGTTGTCCCTATTGAGAGGTGCTAAGCAGGGCACAGCCTGACTACTTTAACTAGCCCTCTTCCTAGCTTACTGTTAGCTTTGATGTTAGAACAAATACAAGCAGGTTATTTTAATTCACTGCACTGTTACATACTCATCTGCGTAGTGATTGAGCCATGGTACCTTGTGCTCATGAAGCAACCTCTTGACAGCACCCTCATCAGTTAGATCACACCTCAGAAAGCGTGGCCTGGCTCTCCGGTATCCGGTCCCAATCACTATCCAGCCGCCGCTTTCAAACTCTCGACAGACGGCTCGACCCAAAAGACCGGTTGCCCCAGTAACTACGACCTTGGGGCCCTGAAGCAGGGCCTCTTCCTGTTGACAATCAAAAAGAGCAGAGGTTTGATGGAATCTCTTCCACAGAGCTGAACTACAGCAACAATACTAAAACTACATTGATCAACACCTTTCAAGCCAAGTTGCATCAGTAGGGCTGAACGATATTAAAGCATATAGATTATAATTAATTCATATTGACTGATATTAAAAGTAGTTTTTTTTAAGTAGGAAATATATTTTAAGTGTGACCCTGGACATATTATAGCCTGACCAGCCTGGGAACAGCTGGGAACGTGGCTGTTTCTGACTCAGAAATACTAGCACTCACGTTATTTTTGCTCATATCATTAAACACACTCATATGTTTAGATATTACTGTCAGGGGCGGATCTACACGGGTGGCATAGGGTGGCAGTTGCCACCCTAAAAGAAAGCCTTGCTACCCCTGCTGCCACCCCAGCTGGCAGCTATAAATTCAAGAAAAATCAGTTTTTCAACTCTCAGGCTCATAAAGACCTATTTGCAGTCTGCTTTGACAGAGAAAAGACTATGAATCTAGGCTGTACTCAGCACTGAATGAAAACAGGCAAAATCTTTGGATCTTGATGCATGTGTAAATTGTTTTGCTGAACAACGTGGAAAATGCCGCATTCAGCTGTTGTAGGAAGGACATAATTTTATTATGTGTTTTATTTTTGTGATGGGCCTTTAAGCTTATTAAATGAGGACCCAAAACAAATACGAATATGTAAATACTGGGAAAAGAAAAAGGAAAACATGCTTCTGAGTGAACAATACAACCAAACTACAATATCATGTTGCAGTGAAATATTTCTTATGTGTGTGTGTGTGTGTGTGTGTGTGTGTTGCCACCCTAGAAAAATGTTTGCCCCTCTTCTGCCACCCCATAAATAATTTACACCCTAAAAAGTAATTAATGGGACCTTTAGTCATTGCTTAAATATATATGTTGTTGTGAAATGAAAAATCAAGTTCATAAACACTGTTAGACTTCTTAATTAGAAATTGTATTATATTGAGTTCAGGTAACACACAAATTTAGCCTTTTTACTCAATATATAATTATGATTAGTCTGAATTTAAAATGATCAGTTAATCAAAACACAATATAATTTTAAGTTGTGTCGATGTAAAATAAAACTTGATGACGTGTAAACCTCCCACAGTTCCTCACTTTTTCTCAGGCGGACATTTTCAACAGCACATGTTCAGGATATGAAGCACTGTGTTGGTGGAGAACGGTAAGTACATTTATGCGGAATTACACATATTTTACAGTCACCCTGGATTTTGTTAGTGATATAGCCTAATTTAAAACAAGGACGTAACATTATCTCTCCCGGTAGCAAGCGAGACGCTCCAGTTAGCTTTCACCCACATCTGTGTGCATAGCAGTTCGGCTGTAACATACACGGAGACGCAAATTCTGCGATAGTAGAAATTGTTGGGCTCTTTTTGAAACATCTAATACTAACGTTACTCTGATATAGACCATTGTAATTGTCTAATGTTTAAAAGATCACAGATATTGTTAGCCACGGCACTAACTGCTATGCTAACGCTGGGTTCTGTAGGATGTGAGCTATAATGTTGATGCTAGCCAAGGTAAGTAGCTATCACTGATGTGTTTGTTGTTAGTTAAGCAGCGATTGAAACGTTTTATTATCTAAATGTGGAATTATTTTTTGTAAAGAGAAGCATTTTATGTTAATAACCATTAAGAAATGCTAAAGCTAGATGCCGCTTTTCGCTTCTACATTTACGTCAACAGCGCCACCATCTTGTTAATGTTAAGGGCGGGAGTTCAACCCAGTACCGAGCCATGAAAGATGCCAGACTTAAGTGGACAATGCCGCACAATGGTAGGGTAATTATTATTATTATGGTAGGGTAAGGGTGATTTTTGGTGACTTTCGGTGTTTTGAAGAGAAATACGGAGAGGCGACACGGATTGTTTGTGCCATTGATATGTCTCAATAAAGTTTGAAGAAAAAAATTGAGCTGCGTGGTAGCGGACCACCATTTTGGATGGGTCTCCATTCGCCCCTAGTGCAGGTTTTTTCTACGAAGGAATGTGTTCCTCCAGTTAAAACACGTTGTCGTTCTTTTTAACAAAATGAGATATAAGGAGTGGCATGACAGGGCTACCAGAGTCAAATTTTGATGGTAAATAATGAAACTGTTAAAACATTTTTCCAAACACAGAAAAGCAAAAAAAAGTCAACAACCCCACTGTTTTTAGCAATATGCCAGTTTTTGCAACAGTTGGCTGCATAAAAAGGACCATGGATTCTGACTCAGCATTGACTCCAATTGGGTTTTGGAGAATGATAAACCCAACCAATATGGCAGTGACGCTGCAACCATAGAGAGCATATATTCATAGAGACAACAGTTGTTGTTGGAGAGCTACATGCTTTGCTATCATATTGGATGGGTCCAGCACTCTTCCAACAACCAGCGTACTGTTGAAAACAGATCATGTGGGAGTATTGACTTTTCTAGCTTGTGTATGAAAAAGTTTTTCCGTATTTACTGTCAGAAAATGGCTGAATCTTACGTTTGATTTTATTTTAAAAAAAACATGATAAAGGCTTTTAGTTTAGTGAACACATTCCTGGTAGAAATAAATGCACTGGGGGAAAATGGAGACCCATCCAATATAGCGGTCTGCGGGTACACCAGCTCCAACAGACAGGCCCAGTCCAAGGTCACCTCTACGTGTATTTGATGTCTATGGAAAGCTACATGTTGCATCTATGCATATATGATTTCTATGGCTGTTGGGCTTTCCAGCGCTCAACAAATTCAGGTATTCTGTTTTGAATGACTGGTCCCAGCTCACACTGTCCCCGAAAAGGTCCCCAACTTTATAATTTTATGAATCAGAAATGTTACTAGCATCGCACGCACGCGCACACACACACACACACACACACACACACACACACACACACACACACACACACACACACACACACACACACACACACACACACACCACCTGGTTGTAAAAGTTCATTCAAATGCTGTAAAAGCAAAATATAGTAAAAGACTAATGTTAAATGTATCTAACAGAGTTATATATTACTATTTAAAAATGGTGCAAAAGATACTAATTGGAAAAGTTGTTTCAAAAGTGTAAACAAATGCCTCATAACAGTAAGTTAAATATCATAAAAACACATATTGGCTACTGATGGGCCACCAGGCTTTTCAAGTTTAAAATCATTTAACTTCATTTATTTTCCTACTCAGGTCTTCAGTGACTTTGAAAGGACAAAACACTGGTATCCTGGTGTCGTAGACCAAGAGTTCAAGTTGAGATAGGTCAGCCTCTCAGGACAAGCTAGACATCCCGTCCTCTGTCCCCTGAGGTGAGAAGCTCTCCGAGTCCATCAACAATTATTGACAAAGACGCAGGTGAAACTTATTCACTGTATTGAAGACTCACAAGTGAAATTGACAATACCAGCTTGTGTGTTTTTGTGCAGGTGTGACTTTCTGGTGTTCTACAGTGTCCTGGTGTTGTGGATCTAGGGGTTCCAGTTAAGACGTGGTCAGCCTTCTAAAGAACGTGGGAATCTCACCTAAATATTCAGTTACTTTGCTGTGTGCCTCGCAAGGACAAAAACTCAAACCTTCATCTTCTCCTGGTATCCTGGTGTCACGTGCCAAGGGGTTCAAGTTAAAACGTCATCAGCCTTCTGAAGTAAGCGTGAACAAACATGGAGTAAGACAGAAACATCAAGTATGGATTGGCCTTGCAAAATCTGTAAATTTGCGACCTCCACTAAAGACGAGTAGTTGAAACATTATAGGTTACGTCATATCCCTGGTGTGCAGCCTCTGCCATGCCCTTACCTAGATTGTTTTTGTTCATTTAAATCATGGGGTAGCCTAAAATCACACATATCAAGGAAACACTCTACTCACTCAACAACAGTGAAAACAAGCGGCCGAAATGAGTTTCCTCCGTAGGGTGGCCGGGCTCAGCCTTAGAGATAGGGTGAGGAGCTCGGACATTCAGGAGGGACTCGGAGTAGAACCGCTGCTCCTCCGGATGGAAAGGAGTCAGTTGAGGTTGTTTGGGCATCTGGTCTGGATGCCTCCTGGACGCCTTCCCGGGGAGGTGTTTCGGGCATGTCCTGCCGGCAGGAGGCCCCCGGGTCGACCCAGGACACGTTGGAGAGGTTACATCTCCAATCTGGTCCGGGAACGCCTTGGGGTCCTGCTGGAGGAGCTGGTGGAGGTGGCCGGGGAGAGGACGGTCTGGAGCTCCCTAGTTGGGATGCTGCCCCCGCGACCCGGACCCGGATAAGCGGAGGAAGACGGCGACTTAATGCTATATCGTTATGTATATAATTTTTAGCATAGAAAATCAGCCGCATCAGGATATGAAATTGTTGCCATATTGCCCAGCCCTACCTGCATCTGATTTTTTTTAACACGTTATCTATTTTTTTCTATCAATCAGGACAACACAGTTGAAAAGCGCAGAGAGATTACCATTCGCTGCCTCATAGTCTATATTGGAGAGAAGGAGGAGGATCTTTTCAAACAATACAGCGTAAGTACTTGACTACTTTTTCAATTTTTTGTTTTGTTTGAAATATGTGTCTGTAGGTTCTGTGTGTTTTTGTTCATTGGATTTTCTGTTCAAGTTTGAGTAATGAAGGGATGTTCCACCCCTAAGTGAAAATTTGTCTATTGCCATAATCCCCAGAGTTTGATAAGTGAGAAAAACACCTTTTGTTACCAGCACAGTAATTTTCTTGATCTGGCAGTAATATGTCTGCTTTAACTGAGCATAAACAATGGAAGTGAATAGCAGGTAGTAGAATTTTGTGTGTAAAAGTGATTAAAATGACACAATAATGATACCAACTGGAAAAGTTCCTGAAGAAACTTTGAGAGGGCGTGCTACCGGCAGTACTTCCATGTTGGCATAAAGTAGAAAACATTAGCTTAAAGCTAAAAGAGTTAGCATAAAGCTAAAAATATGATCTTAAAGCTATAAACATTAGCTTGAACCTAAAAAGTTAGCATAAAGCTAAAAGACATGTTACCCCCAGGAATAGTTTGTTTCATTATTGAGTAATTTTAATCACTTTTGCACACAATGCTAGTACCTGCTATTCACTTCTAACATTTATGTTATGCTCAAGCAAATGGACTGCTGTCAGATCAGTAGAATTACTGCGCTGGTTACAAAAGAATGTTTTCTCACTTTTCCAACTCTGGGGAATATGGCAATAGAAAAATTTTCAAACGTTATAGAGATTAAAAAAAATTGAAACTGCTTTGATTTTGCTTGTATGGGTTGCAGAATGACAAAGAAAAATCACTGAAAGATAAACACAAAAGACAACCTGTTTTAGCTTATTTTCATACCTGAAGTCGTAGTTCATTACTTGATTCACGTCATCCTGAAGAGCTTGAGCTACGTATTTTATACATCCTAACTTCTTTTAATTTCTCTTACAAGGATGTGGAGGAGCTCAACGCAGACCTTGCAATGCAAGTCATGAAGATTGCTATCATTGGTGATGGGCCTGAAACGATCATCGTTGAGGAATCCAAGATCCTGGAGGGGATTGATGCTGCCAGATCCTGTGTTTTGCTGATGGGAGTTATCTACACTCTGAACCTTACCTACCCAAAGCAGCTGAAATTTACCTTTGAGGTATTTCAAAAGCTATGCCTTGAGCTTGATGGACAAAAAGCCAGCTCTAAAGTAACGAATCTCAAGTTGGGTATTTTCTAGAGCAGACTTAATGAACTGTTCATGAGGGAGTTTCAAAGTAGACACAAAACCTTTTCTTATTTCTGCATTTGCAGCACTACTTCAGTCATTGGCTTTTACTAAATTTTAAAGCACTGTTCTTCATAAGCTTCTGAGTTAATTTTTTGTGTCTTAAATGCTGCTGTTTGCACATTTTTAAGGAATTTGAGCTGTGGTTAATTCCTCCCATTACCTCTTTGTTCTGAGGATAGTGGTGTGTTTTGAAGTTTATATATAATGCCCTCTTTAGCTGGCATTAATCTGGTAGTTGAAAAGTCAAATATAAATGAGAATGAATATGACTTTGCTAAAGTACTGACAAAGTTGAATGAGAGAAACTTTGCTCATTTTATGTTTAAATTAGTGAATTTAAATGTATTGAACTCTTTGATATTTTGTTTTGATTCACTGTCCCTTATTCAAGTCAAAAATTATGATTCATGTATTGGGTTTTATTACACTTTAATACACTGTTCCTCATAAGTTTCAGTGGGCGTTTTGTGTCTTAAGAAAATTAAGCCCTCAAATCTTGCACTTTACATGTTAAAGAATTGTGCTGTTATTGTTATTAAATGGGTCTAACTCATTTGAATAATTCTGTCTGAATTTCTATTATTTCTGAGCACCAGGTCTGAGTTCCTTAGCTGATGTCCAGATGCCAGGTTAGGACATCTCCCTCATGCCTCTACATAAGGGGTGTCAAATTCTGGTCCATGGGGGCCGGTGTCCTGCATCTTTTAGTGTTTTCCCTGTTCCAACACAGATAATTCACCTGTGCAGCAGATCATCAAACTCTGCAGAAACCTGTTAATGAACTGCTGACTGAAATCAGGTGTGTTGAAACCGGGAAACGCTAAAACGTGGGATTACGGCCCTTTGAGGACTGGAGTGACACCCCTACCCTGAATACTCCTAGCAACCATTCAGAAGGTATTTGGCATCTCCTTGCTGAGAGCTGATTTTACTCAGCCACCTTCAAACAAAAATACACACAACATCCTATTATTTTTCTGAAGGTCATGACACAAGAGCAGTCAAAGCACATGTTGAGGCTGAATTTCATTTGGTAAAAAGTCTGATCAACAACTTTCTTATGTCTTAGAACCTTGACTTCTTTGTGGGCAGGCACCACCTTGGATGAACCCTCCCACAAGGTAGTCATGGTTATAAGAGACGACCAAATCATCATGGTTCTATTTTGGAGCAACTTAGCCTCCTGAGAAACAGAAAAATGCACTTATAGAATCTCCTGCAGGGATCATACATAATTGAGTTAATATTTGAAGTTTATTTTTTGTGACCAAAAAGCTACTACACTACTGTATAACTGAAATATTATATTGGACCACCTTAAATTCTTGCGTTCTTGTTGACAATTATTAAGTTCATGTAACTTAGGAATGTGTTTAAATGTGGCCAAAAAGTTACTTCAACATAAATGAATATTATGTTGGATCAACTTAAATTCTTGCGTAATTGTTGACAATTATTAAGTTCATGTAACTTAGGAATATGTTTAAATGTGGCCAAAAAGTTACTTCAACATAAATGAATATTATGTTGGATCAACTTAAATTCTTGCGTAATTGTTGACAATTATTAAGTTCATGTAACTTAGGAATATGTTTTAATGTAGCCAAAAAGTTACGTCAACATACATCAATATTATGTTGTACCAACTTAAATTCTTGAGTTCTTGTTGACAATTATTAAGTTCATGTAATTTAGGAATGTGCTTTGTAGTCACGAAAAGGCTACTTCACCACACTCAAAAATATTGCGCTGATTTAATGTAATTCTGCCAGAAGTTGGTTTAACTTAAAAATTCTAGTGGAAAACGTTAACATATGTTTTTTTGTTGAACCAATGCTTTATTTTTTAGAGTGTAGTAGATCCACCCCTGATTACTGTTAATAAGAGTATTTATTTCTCCACTTGCATCCTTGCTGCGTTCAGGTGAAAGAGCTGTCACTCAGAACCAAGCAGCGAATTCCTGAACTGCTCGCGACAGCTGGTCACATGCATCAGCTGTTACATGAATGAAAAGCACGCGCCCGAGTTGAGATCATCGACCAACTAATCTTTGCAGTCTGATACGCGTCATTGATCGAGGCCTGGTGGAACTGCCGTTTCCGCTTCCGCTCAGCTGTTTACTGTCAAATACAAGCTGCACCTATGGTAGCTCTTAGCATGTGGGCTAATGGTAAAACTGGATCCAAATGTTTGAATCGAGCTCCTCGGGTTGTTTCCGAACAGAAGAAACTGATCCAGGATGAGACTGTCACGGGCAAACCTGACGTGACAAACTGACCTATACACCTGCATAAAAACATGAATGTACCTGAGAAGCTGAGACCTGGTGGCCACGCATCTGACTCGAACTCGCTGACAGACCAGCAAAACACGAAAGACCCCAGAACTCAACACGTTAGGAAGGACGTGCGTTGCCAGTTCCCAAAGCTAGCTGCGCTGCAGACAAACAAAATGGCGGACTGGAGCTCCCGGGGGTCGTATTCGTACCGGAAGCGGAAGACGTTCGTCCGTGTCTGAACTTCTTTGCCTTCAGAGTAAAAGTTTCTACTTAGTCGGGCTTCGCAGGTTTTATAGCAACAGCCTCTCTACCGTGTAAAAAGATTTTATCGCATGTTTTATTGTTTTCTTTTGACAGAGACATTTTGGAGAGAAACAATGCAACAAAAAAAAAAAAGGTTTAAGACAATATGATGGGTGAACCTTAACTTTCTTCTGTAGGTCATGTGACATTTGTAGGGAAAGTTGTTACTTAACGCTTTTATTTTAGAAATTCAGTATTTTATTTGAATTTACAATATTACAAGGCACCGATTACACTCAAAGGTGTATATTTGAACATTTTAAAAATACAAATAAGAGAATAAGAATATATTGTGCCTGAATTTATATAAATACACAAAAACTGTAAAAACATAAATTATAAACTACTTCAGTTGTGTGTAATGAATCTAATATATATGAAAGTCTAATGATTATCAGTACATTACAGAAAATGATGAACTTCATAACAATATGCTATTTTTTTCAGAAGGACCTGTATATAGACACACACATATTGGTCTTTGTGTTTTGAATTCCGTACCACGTTTCTGCTGTTCCAACTGAATTTTGCCTAGGACTGTTCTGTTCTCTTCTATCCTGGCAGTGGAGGAGATGGAGTTCTACAGCTACCTGGAAGTTCAGCTGGTAGTAGAACAAAGAACAGAGCAGACGCTTCTGGAAGGAGATAATTCCATGTTTGCTGGGAGATCTTCTGAACTCTGATGTAAAACTGAATCTGCTTTGTAGTTTTATACTGGAACTGCATCATCAGAACTAGATAAAAGAGAGTCGGAGTAAGAAGTATGTATTCATGGACCTGAAGCCTGATTCTTCAAACAATTTAGCAGTCGGAAATAATCGACAGTTGTTCACATTCTGGGCAGAACACAGTGAGGTTCAGAAAAAAGTGTGTTCAATCATTGTCTTCTTTGGATCTGCTGTAGAAAAAAAACAGATTCAGGAGGTCTTTCCATTTGCCATCTCACTCAGGAACATTTCATTAGCTGCTCATAAATGATATTATGTAAATTCACTTCAACCACCGCAATGCTACAACATTGATAAGAGATTTACGAGACTATACGTCCTTTATGATGCCATCATGCTTTCAACATTAAGAAAGTTGAAACGAGTACAATTTTTTCTAAAAAAAATATTTTTATGGACAAATCAACAGCATACAAAAACAAGTGAAATGTCAATCAAGTCTGAACAAGGGAAACAAAACATCAACAGCCAAAACAAAGAACAACAAATAAACAAAATGAAGGTGAGAACTTAAAAAAAAATTGCCCCAGGTTAGTCTGATTTCTGCCTGCAGTCTGGTCCGGTCCTGGTTTTGGAGGATCCTTATCAGGATCTGAAAAACAGAAACAATCCAGCCATACCTTGTGCCACTGCTTTGTTTTCAACTTTTCAAAGGAATGAAATTTTGACATAATCACCAAATAAACTACAACATTATCACAAAGCAGACGACAATCTTACCTCTGGGTCCATGACATCAAAAACAAAATCAATCAGCTGATTCCCCCCTTTACTGATCAGAGCTCCAATTCCTGTTGCCTTTTCAATGGCCCTCAGTAGCTGAAAGATCTGATGAAAGAAACAAAAATAAGAAAGACTCATGTATAAACACACACACACACACACACACACACACACACAAGACTGATAATATTTTCATAAACCCGGTGGTCACTTAAATTCAGTGCCCTCATCTTTAAGTGCTGCTTCAGAGCCAAGGACGATCCAGGGTTCTGCCACAGGTACATCCTGTTGGAACGAATATTCCCAGCTCTCAGGTCATCATAGAGTGCCTGAAAGAATAAAGATTTAACATGTAATCTCTGACAAACTGTAATTTATTATATATTCTTTTTAATTACCTTTATCTGATCCGGATTAAACAGAGAAAGAATCCCTCCTTCCTCCACAGCATTCCCAATCCTGCAGATACAAGACCAGTGGCGGCTGGCCAGTAGAGGGCGATAGGGCGACGCCCTGCCAGTTTTCCCCAGTGTTTTTAATTTTTATTTAAAAAAAATAAATAAATAAAATTAACAATAATCACATATTCTAAGTTAATTGTGTGTTTTGTAACAAAAACAAATCATATATATATATATATATATATATATATATATATATATATATATATATATATATATATATATATATATTTATATATATTGGTCAGAAGCTCTCTGCCGAGCTGTGGTGGCGACAGAAAGGCTGTAGGCTGTTTTTGAATCGCCCAAACAGAACGGGACCAGTCGGCCAATTGCTGACAAGAAAATCAAACGGTAGGAATGGGAATGTATCCAATCAGCGTCGACGTTGTTTCAGAAGCATGATGGGCGATAGAGCTACCGCCAAAGGCTTTCGTTGGTGTTCGGTAGAACTCGGAGAGTCTCGACTAAAGGTGAAGAAACACGAGTCATCCCGGGCACACATGCACAACACGGTGAAGCTAGCCATGCTAGGCAGAGCTAACATTGCCATGCAGCTCGGCGAGGGAAACGGAGGACGATTGGACATGAAATTACATGGTGGGTAATGACCCACCATGTAATTTTTCTGTTAAATATGTACATATCGAAGAGAAAAACAACACGGTATGGTTTTTCTCGACAAATTCAAACTACTTCCGGCGAAGGTAATGACACGAAGCCTTGTTTTTCCGGATACGTCATTTCCTGTCACGGCAAAGACGCCAGCTGATGTCTGCAGCCAGATGCTCTTGAACACTACAGACACCGATCCTCTGTCACGCTCCTACCACACAGAGTCACGGTGTCAGTTAACCATGCTAATTCAACCCGCTCCACAGAACACACATCACCTTCCCTGTGGCTTACATTAACATAACATTCACACAACACGCAAATCAACACATAGGAACTAGCAGAACGATAGGAAACACATATAACACAATACCCAGAATGCACCTGGCTTACAACCCCAGCCAGGTCATTACAATATATTAAAACCTATATGTTTTTATGAATTCTTTCCATGTGGGTTGTCAGTTGCTTAATATTTGCTATGTTTACCTATAGGAAAGAAAGGAGATATTTTACTCGTCTATCTTTAGCATAAATTTTGGCAGCTTAATGTGATGCTATGGACAATGCCATCATCATGAGCAACCAAACATGGGCTATATTAGGCTAACATTTGTCTATATTCTGTCCCATTTATCCACCAATGGCTGTTTCAATTATTGTGAGTGAAAACTAAATGGCATAGTAGCATTTGTTTTGGCATTAGAAATTGAAAATGTTTTTCAATTTGTTGGCTAGATGGCAGGGCCGGCTTTGTCTACAGGCGACACAGGCGGCCGCCTGGGGCGCCATCTAATGGATAGGGCGCAAAAAAAAAAAAAAAAAAAAAAAAAGTTCATTAAAGTCATGTTTGTAATATGAAATGCACTCTCTACATACTCAAAATTCCCCTTTGAAATGACATGAAATTAAAACATCAATATTTAAATTCTAATGATCTGGCTGCATTTCGAGCTAGCTTGAGCCACCGCTCCGATGCATTTGATCGTTAAGGTTGCCATAGTCACGTGTGCGGGTGGCACTGTAGAAGGACACCCTGTTGTCGTCGCGTTTAAACGTTTGATATTTTATGAGGAAAAGAACACCTAAGCCATCGGGATCAGCATTCCGAAAGCGAAGGAAGGAAGAAGAATAAAAACGGGCCCAAAGCAGAGGTGTGTAGACTTTATAAGTTTTGCAAAGGAACTTTTTGCGTTAGCATTGTAGCTAACTGCCTCTCCTGCCACGCACGGTCCACGGACGGACCCTCGCTAGCTGTTTACACACACAATACAGTATCTGTAACTTTAACCCATTCATTTTACTTTTGAATTGTCGTGGCCAGATGCAGTGAGACAGTGTTGAGTCTCACTGTGATGATGAAGAATGTAAGATTTTTTACTGGTTTTTGGAGCTTGATTGCAGCCTTTTATGAATGTTGTTTCAAGTTTTAAGTACGCATACAATATGAATTTAATATTTGTATATCAGAAGAACGTTAGGTGTGGGTGTAGCAAATTTTCAACTTTGTCCGACACATCAGGCGGGCAGCACCGCCGCGGCCGTGGCGGTGACTCCCCCGCTGCCGCCGGGCCCGGCAGGGAGTGAGAACTGCCTAAACACAGCATGACATCTTATGCCGTCTCTTTCTTGTTTATGCTGCAGCGTCTTCATCCAGGCATCACGCAGCACTGAGCTACAATCTCAGCATCTAGAACCAGGTGAGTAAGTTACTTGTTAGGCTATTTGTAATCAGCAGTAGAAACGGGCTTTTTCAAATTAAACGGCTTATCACATATATCGATATGCAAAATTTATTTATTTGAATCCACACCAGACACTTGTTTTTGGCACAATCAGTGCAGCATTGATTTAGCATTGAGAATATTAAATAATCTCAACATACACATCTGAAATTGTCTCCTTAAGATGTTATTGTCAATTAGGCTGTAAATTTGTAAAAAAAGGATGGACATTAGTTTTTGTGACATAGTGAGTCATCTTCAAGGCATAAAGGTTTATGCCCTGAAGAAGGTCGTACCGAAACGCGTCGGTGTTTCCTTGTTTAATAAATGAAATCCTCAGAGTGCCTCAGATCACCGGATCTTCTTCCTCATATTCTACGATTTATTTGATGCTGAAGAGCACCTGAGAGTGAGACATAAGTTTTTTCAAATATTCCCCATGGATGTGCCCACTTCCACCTGTTTTTGATCATTTTATTCATGTTTTCATTGAACAGATTAAAAAAGATCAATAAAATAAAAAGTCCAGTAATATTAAAAATAGTGAAAAGCATCACTGCACATGACTGAGGAATATTGAATGTGAAAGTGGCACTGCTCTTAATTCATGCATCAGAGGGTTAAGTTGCTTTGTGTGTGTGTGTGTGTGTGTGTGCGTGT